TCAAAGAAATTTTATAATTATATAAAGAATATATTCTTATTTTTAAATAAATATATTCTTATTTTTAAATAAAAAATATTAAAATAATATATATTTATAATATATATAAGTTTATAATATATATAAATATATATAATATATATAATATAAATATATATATATAAAATTTATAATATATATAAGTTAGTATTTTAAAAATTTTCTCAAATACATAATAATAATAATAATAATCAATAACAAATAATAATCATACATATTTTAATTTAATTTTTATTTTCATTATTCAAAATATATATAAATATTTGAATAATAATATTTTTATGAAAATTTTATGTATTTTTACAATAAATTATAAATGATAAATAATAATTTTTAAATTTTAAATAACTTAATTTAATATTTATTATTCAATAGAAAAAACAATATTTATTGTTAATATTATTAATATATTTAATAATAAATAATAAATATTTAATAATAAATAAATATTTTATTATTATTTAAAATGAAATAATTTATAGAAATATATGTAATATTTCTGATCATAATATTCCAAATTATAAAATCACTAAATTTATAATATAGCATTATCTATTGTTTGTATTATAATTTAATATATTCAAATTGTATATATTTTTTTCAATTACACAATATAAAAAGAAAAATTTCAAATTTTCAAAGAAACTAAATTAATTAAAAGTAGAACAATATAAACATTAAAAACATTTTAATATTGATCATTCATTTACATTTTTAATTATTTTAATTTTCAATATTGCTTTGTAACACATATACACATATGAACTTCATAATTTAAATATATATTTTATAATATTTATAATATTTTATAATTCATGTTTAATTATTTATATATTTTATTAGCTAATGAAAAATCATAGCAATAAATTTATTATTTTTAATTTATTTTTATTTTCATTTCATTTTTTAAAAAATTTATATATATAATTATCTTGTCGCATGTGTAATTTGCTTTACAATATATTTAATGTGTAATAATTAAGTTGTTTACAAAATAACAAAAACTTTACATTGTATATATTTCTCAATTATTAATTTGTTATATAAGTTATAATGTAAATATATATAAATATTTTAATGTGCTATTAATGTGCTAATTTATTTTATGTTAAAAATCTTAAGCATGTTTTTTAGGTTAACATATTCCAAATTATAAAATCACTAAATTTATAATATAAAATTATCTATTGTTTATATTATAATTTAATATATTCAAATTGTATATTTTTTTGTATATTTTTTTCAATTACACAATATAAAATGTTAAACATACTTTAATTATCTAAAATATTTTTTATTTATTAATATTAGTTTTGTTGAATAAAATCTAGTCATTTCCGAAAAAAATTCGATATAAAATAATTTTTATAAATTTCATATATTTAATTAAAAAATATATTAAATGTATTAAATTATTAAAAGATTATATTCTTCTTTTAAATCATTTGTTACTTTTTTTTCTTTTCGAATTATATTTTTTTATTACAAAATTGTAAATTAAATTACGAAATTGTAAACAAAAATTTTTGATATTAAAAATTTCTATTTTGTATCAAAAGAAGATATATACAAATTCTTCCTAGAATTTTAAAATTTAAATCTTAAAATTTAGGTATTCAACTTGAATTGTTGTCATTTTTATAATTTTATATCAAAAGGAAATAACTTAAGAAAAGATAATATGCAAAATTTTTAAAACTAAAAATTATAAAATTAAAAATTATTCGAAATTTATCTAGAATTTTTGATTAATTTAAGGATTTTGTATCAAAAAAATTTTTTATGAAAAGTTGGTACCTAATTTTTTTTTAGAAATATATATTTTGTATTTATATACTATTTATATGCATTTATATTACTTTTATATACTTTTATATATTTATATATATTTATATATTCACAATTGCCATTTTTTTGCAGCACTGAATTTTCTTTTATAATTTTTTTAAAAAAAATTTTCAAAATTTTCAATGTGCTAGATAAATCATTTAAATTTATCTTATTTTCTTTTAATAATGTAGTAAATTAATATAATAAAAAATATTTCAAATAAAATTTGAATTTCAGAAAAGTAGATTCTGATGTTAATCTTTTCGTAGTTAGACGTAGTAAATTTATGAAAATTAATTATATTTTTTTAAATAGAATCGTAGATTTTTCAATGAATAAGTCAATACTACTACTAATTTTTTTTTATTATTATTATTTTTTAAATTAAATCATATAATTCGAAAAATTAATTTAAAAAATAATTAAATATTTAATTTTTCAATTTAAATGACGCACTTCCGCCTTTTTTCAAAAAGATGTATTCTTTTGTGTAATAAATTGAAATATATACTATAATTGTATTGTGATCATTTGTAATAATGATTTTCAATTTATAAACTAAGAATTATTTCAATTAAATAGCTTCAAAAAATATATTTAATTTCTTTAGAATGAAAAATATAATTGATAAAAAATTTTAATTTTATCTTTTGAATATTTATATCATGTATGTTGATTTATTTACTTTGTTAACAATTATTTCACTAAATTATTTCACTAAAATTATTTCAAAAATTATTTCACTAAATTAGAATGAATAATGTAAATCTTTAAAATTGTATAATATAGTAATGAAAAAATATTGCTTGTGACAACTGACAACTTTCAGAGTGAGAAATATTTTATATATTGTTCATGATAATATCATTGAATATATCAATGGTTATTCTTTATGATAAAATAATGATAAATTAAATAAAATAGATGATAAAATAGTGATAAATATAAAAATAATTGATTATTTTTATGTGGCATGTTTTTATCAGAATGATTCATTACGAATGTAGACAAGGCTTATATCCATCTAGCAATATAAAACGTTTCGAAGTACCAGAAAATAAAGTAGCATGGAATGTCGAATTCCCAGAATACAAACCAGTTGAATACACTGCTGCACTTGTTAAAGGAAAACCATGGGCAGATCCAGAAATTGGAGAAATTTCATTTAAACCCAAATGGAATTCTATTGATGGTAAATAATTATATAAAATGTAATATTAAATTTTTTAAACTAACAATACTTAACCTTTTTATTTTTTTATAAATATGAAATTTAATCAATGATACGTTTTTAAAACTGTAATTTGAAAAGAATTTTTAAGAAATTATGGATAATGATTACTTTATTTTTAAGTTTTTAATTAATTTACATATTATAAAATTCATCACTCATAATATGTAAAATATTTTTTATATTTTAAAATTTATTTTTTTATTATCATTATAATAATAATTTTATTATCATTATATTAATAATAATTATATTAATAATAATAATTATTATAATAATTAAATATTATTGAAAATAACTTTTTTATTTTATTAAAAATACTATAATACTTTATCAAAAATAATTCTTTTACCAAAATATCATATTATTAATATATTAATATAATACATAATATATTAATAATAATAAAATATAATTTGTAAAATTTAAGTTTATATAAATTAATTTACATATAAATTATATATCAAATTTTTATTATATATTTTTTTCTATCTATTATAATAATAAAAATTAATTTTACTTTATAAAAGTTTTATTTTACAACATTATCTTTTAATATTTTATATATATATATAAGTTTAATTGAAACATATCTATTAATCTCATCAATTATTAAATATTCACATTAATATATATTTTAAATATATTTTAAATATATTATAAATAATTTATATTTATAAATTAATTTATATTATATTATTATATTATATTAATTAACAGGAAAAGTAAATCGTAAAAGTTATACAAATGATTATGATATAAATAAAAATGGTTATCCTTTAAATCCTATTGGTCGTACTGGTATTTTTGGACGTGGTCTTTTAGGACGATGGGGACCAAATCATGCAGTAGATCCAATTGTAACACGTTGGAAATCAAATGTTTCAGGAAGTACAGAAATAAACAAAGATACAAAAAAACCAATTTTGCAGTTAGTTGCCATACAAAGACAAGATTCTGGAAAATGGGCTATTCCTGGTGGGATGATTGACCCAGGTGAGACAGTTTCAACAACTTTAAAAAGAGAATTCATGGAAGAAGCTTTGAGTTTCTTAGAAAAAAGTCAAGCAGAAAAAGAAGAATTAGAAAAATGTATCAGAAAATTATTTGAAAGAGGAGAAGAAATTTTTAAAGGATATGTAGATGATCCTAGAAATACAGATAATGCTTGGATAGAAACTGTAGCTGTAAATTTTCATGATGATAATAATCTTTTTAAAAACATAACACTAAAAGCTGGTGATGATGCACGCAATGTAAAATGGGTAGACATTGATAAAAATCTAAAATTATATGCTAGTCATAGTGAGTTTATTAAAAAAACAGTGTTAAAACATAATGCACATTGGTAAAAATTCTGAAATTTTAAATAAAAATAATATATGATTACTTAGTAAAATTTTATTCTTTTATTGAACATTCAGAAAATTAATCAAAAATTTTATATATATATATTTATTTATATATATTACATAAAATAAACTTAATTGATAATATATTTTAAATGTATTTATATGTTCATCACAGTTTTATTCCTTAAAATTATGTAAATTCAAATCATTCTTTAAAAAGAAAATTAAAATTCTATATAATAAATTAAATATTTTACCAAATTAAATTATTTTATAATATTTTTTTAAAAATGTATTATGAATTTATTTAATATGAAAAGAAATGATATTTTTATATGTATTTTATATAATACAAAGATGATAAAATTTATTTTATGAACATCTTAAAACAACTCTTGAGAAAATATTATAATATAATTAAATAAATATTAAAATAATAAATTTGTAAAAATACTGCTTATTGTATAGATCCTGTTATATAATTAAGTAATTTTAATTTTTGTTTTAATTTTTAATTTTTGATAATTCATAACGATATAATTGATATAAACATTATGAAAAATTCCATATAATCTATATACAAATAATATTATATTTTTACATTCAATAATTCTGCTATAGCCTAATAGGATACATTACAATTATTTGATTCTATAGAAACATTAAATATTTTTGGTTTGTCTAAATTAAACATATTTGAAATTAATTTTGCAGGATTTATATATTCTATTATAGATTGTTTATGATCAGAATTTTCTAAAAAATTTTCTTGTGACTGGATATTTAAAGTACTATTATAATTAATTAGTTTTTTAAGAATATAATTCATATTTTTATTATTTCGCATACTTTGCAACATATTTTTATGTTCATCTGGAAAAATTGTATCGGTTTCTTTTTTCTTAGCTTGGTAATAACGTTTTTCTAAATCTAACGCATATTGCGCTTGGCTTTGTCCTAACTTTGCTGCTTTAACAAAATAGCTACGAGCTCTATCAATATCTATTGTAAAACCACCTCTGCCTTGAGCATAAAAAACTCCTAAGTTATATGTAGCATCTGCATGATCTCGTTCTGCTGCATCATTATAATACTTTGCAGCCTAAAGAGAAAATATAATAAAATATAGATTTTTATAATTTTATATTAAATTATGTATATCATTAATAATATCATACCTGTGCATAATCAACTAAAGTTCCAAGCCCTAATTCATAACAAAGTCCTAAATTGAACATACTAGCAGCAGATGATAAATTTGCACCAGCAGTAAAATGTCTTATAGCATCCTTGTAACGTCTCTCTTCTAAAGCTTTTAAACCATAATGAAGTTCAAATTCAGCCACGGTAAAATTATGGGCATTAGCAAATTCTTCAGTAGCTTCTTTTAGAACCTGAGAATATGTAAAGAAATAAATATTAATACTAATAACTTTTATTTTAAAATTTATAAATTAAAATATTTAAAAAGATTTTTTTTCAATTTTAAATATTTTAACAATTAAATTATAATCATCTATCACTTTTAATTCACAACTAAAATAGTAATTTACTTATATATATATATATATATAAAGTAATATATATATAAGTAAATTACTATTTATATATATAAATACTATTTATAATTAAATTACTAAATTACTATTTATATATTTATAAAGTAATATATATATAAGTAAATTACTATTTATATATATATATATTATACTATATATACTATTATACTATTTATATATATATATTAAAAAGTTAATCAAAATTAATATTTTTATTATATTTATATGTATTTATATAATATTGTATAATTTTTATAATAATAGTTTTATATTTTATAATAATAGTTATATACTTTATAATAGTTTATATTAATTATTATTATTAAATTTCAGTTATTATTAGTATTCAATTTCAGTCAAAACATTTTTCTTGGAAAGAAAATAATAAAACTTTTTTCAAATTTATATTGTTTATGTTTTTCTTTATAATTTTACATATGTTATTATAAATAATAATTTACAATTAAATACTTAAAATTATAAAATTATTTATTAAATTATTTATTACAAACATTTAAAGTGGATCTTGAATGACGTAAAATATTAAAACTATAGCATAGAATATATAAAATATATTTAACATTAAATCAATTATAATAAATTTAAGTGATACAATGATGAGAATATATATATTATTATAATATTAAATATATTTAAGATAGAATGTTATCTGCTTTCTATTATAATTTTTTTTATATATTATAATGTCTGCAAAATAACATTCTTACCTCTTCATTAGTGATTGGTCCAAATGGCTTGTTAGCTTTCCATTCTTCTTCATTATTTTCTTGAGCATATATTTTACTATTGCCAATACAATTAATAAGAGGTAAAACATGTGGTTTTAAATTTAATACTTGATCAAATAAGTAAGAATTATATGTTTCTGGCACTTGTAATAGTTTATTTTTTAAAGAATCAGTTTTTTCTTTTTCAAATAATCTTCTATGAAGACATAAGGTTTGACATACTACCCATCCAATAGCTAATACACTTGTCTATTAAAAAAAATTATTATATTATTTATTAAAATTATTATTTATTAAAAATTTATTAAAAAAAAAAATTAATTTTATTATTGCTATTATATAAATAATATGTTAGAAAGTTTTACGATTAAAAAAATTACGTTTAAAAAATTTATATAATTTTATTTATTTATATATATTATAATTATATCTATAATTTTATATAATACAAACCGAATTATAATCAATTATAATCAATTAATTGAAAAAAAAAAAAATACAATGAATAAATGAAAAAAATTTAAAAATAAAATATATTACGATATAGAATTTTATATACATAAAATTTTATATTAAAACAAAAATTTTTATATTACTTTTATTATTAAAGATATAAATCAAATTTTTTAAAAATGTTAAATGAAAAAATTATAAATGTGAAAAATAAACAAAACGACGCAATTTACCCATCCTATGGCTTCTGACCAAGTATATTTTGTATTCCACTTGGAATCATGATTTTTGTCCTTTGTACCACTAGTTTTTGTTGAGCCACAAAATTCTTTATTAAAGATGGAAAAAGTTGGTGGTAAAAATTTATGATTATATGTCAAACTTGTTTTAACCTCATTTTTTGAATTTGGATCTTGAGATGTTTGGTAATAAACATTTGTACGACATACACGACGTTCTAAAGTTTCACGAATACCACGAGTTACAAACTTCCACATTTTGCCAACCGATTATAATATAAAAAATATTAAAATTAAGATAAATTTTTACTACTATCGACTTCTAATACCTACATGCGCCCGCAAGAAGAGCGGCACACTGAAAAAGTTGATGCTGACAATCAAATTCTAGAACTTTTTTTTATATATTGCGCGCGCAATCGTATTGCAAATGCAAATTTTTAATATATTTTTAAATAAATTGTTTTTATTAAATATAAATAAAATTTAATATATATAAATTTAATATAATATAAATAAATATAAAAAATTTTTATTAAATATAAATAAAATAGTAATTTATAGAAGTCAAAAATTACATTTATTTCAATATTAAATCATTTATAAACATTCGTTATTTTTAGAAAATTACTATAAAAAAAGAAAATAAAATGAAAAAATTTATTTGAAAAATGAAAATATATTATAATTTTTTGTATATAATAATGAAATAATTAAGGAATTTTTACAATTCTGTTTTTATATTATATATAATTACGAAATTCTATATAATTTTTCATTATATAGAAATACATTATTATAATAAAATAATTAAAAAATAATTAAATTTTACAATTTTGTTTATGTATTGTATACATAATCATATATAATAAAATCCATTATAATACCTTATCCATAAAACACTTTACATACATAATAAAAGAGTAACATACCAGTACCTTTCCACACAATTTAAGTAATATATATATATATATAAGAATTTTTCTCATATTATATAAAATATTTATATATTTTTATTTAAAATAAAAATATATTTAAAACAAAAATATTTATAATTATATTTATCAAATATAATTTTTTAAACAATTATTTTAATCACTTTTACATATAATATCTGATATTACGAATATTTAAATTTTTAAATTTAAATACTAAATGCTTCATATATATTTGCTCCAAGTGTTTTAAGTTCATTATTTGTTATAAGACGTTGTAATAAATCATTTTGAAAATCTCTTGATGTTGATTTATCTGGTACTTGTCCATTTATAATTGGTATTAATTTAGCCATTGGCATTGATATTTTATTAATATTTGTAAATATACTTGAATCATATTTCATGCTTATGCTATTTTGATTTGATGTTCCTGGCACTGAAATACCATTTTGAGCAGTTTTACTGTTTTCTATTATAGGAGAACCAACAAAGAATGCAGAAATATGGTCCACTAATAAACTAAATCCATTTCTAATATTACTTTGTGTTAAATTTTGTACTTCTTCAGTTTCCAAAAGATCCAATGTTTCATTGAATAATTTTAATAGTATAGGTGATTGTTCTTCCTCACAATTTGATAATAGCATATATTCAGCAAGATTTTTTATAGGATTCTTTGAACTATCTGCAGAAATAGAAGATGTTAAAGCCCAATATATTTCTTCTATATCTCTTAAAGTTAATTCATCTTTCAAAGATATTGATGCTGTTATTTCTGCCACTTTATCTTTTATAAGTAAACTTAATTTTTTTATTTCATCATATATAAAATGACGTGAAAGTGACATATATTTTGTTTGTATAATATTTTCTGTAGTTGTACCATTAGAATTTTGAATGTCCTTGTATACATGACCACCCATTACATTAAATTGAATTCTTATTAAAGTTGCCAACATAGCATATGAATAAACTACTACAGCAGACCTAGCAATTGCTAAAACTTTTAATTCATTCCAACATGCTATTTTATCAGGACAACCATTTCTGAGCTTATTTACAATAGTATTGGTATCCAAAACTTTTACTATAGAATCTCTTAAAGTTGATGTGAGGGATACTATCATCTGACTACATGTTCTTTCATTACATTCAAAATATTGCCGACGTTTTGATCTGTCTAGCATATCTTTTATTTCTTTCTCTTGCCATTCTCGAAGCCTACGTGCTGTATATCTGATAAAAATAATACTACCAACAACAATACCTCCCACTATAAACTTTTGTCTATGACGATTCACAAATCCACGAAGTCTTGAAAACATTTTTTTTACATTAATTATATAAAATTTGACTTACATCATAATTTATATTGTGTTGGTCTTTTTATGCTTGTTACCAAAGGAATAAAATATAATTCTTACAAATATCCAATTATTTCTTATAAATATGTTTTTTAATCTAACCTTATTATTTTAATGTTTAAGGTAAGAAGCCTTAATGATAAATAAGTCCTTTTTTAGCATTCAGGATGAAAAATTTCTTTTTTTTTTTTTTTTCTTTTATCTTTCAATATCAAATATACTTTAATAATAGTAACAGTATATTTATTTCAGTTTGATTGAAGATATCTTGATTAAATAACATGTTATATATCCATTTCTATAAAATATATTAAAACACTATATTTTTCAATTTGTGTGCAATAAAATTAATACTTATTGAAGAACTCTCTTGTATACACAATTGTACAACATAATCTCAATTATTTGAATTCAAGAAATTATCTATCAGTTGTTTCAACTGATAGTTGTAAATTGATAACTGCACAGTTAATAGCAAATCATCAGTTAACTTTACTATCAATCTCTGTAAAAAAGAAATTTTTATGTAATTCAAATATATGTTAAATATATCTGATATTTATATTAAAGAATTATGTTAAAGAATATATTAACATTAATTAGTGTATTATGAAATGTATATTAATGACATTAGTGATACCATAATTACGATGTTACGAATTTCATATTTGTATAAAAAAAAATTACCATATAAAACATAAAAACTAATCAGTATTTTCTTATTTTTTATTTCACAATATTTGATGACGTATATTATTTTAAAGAAAATTTTAAAATTTCAAAAGTTTATTAATTAGAAATTATTTTAATTCATTAGTTCTAATAATTTATAAAGAAATATTCATAAACTAACCTGAAATTATTCACTTTTGCTTTCTCACTTATGAAGACTTGTATATATTCATTGACAGTATCTTTCAACTTTGATCTTTTATAAATCTCATTTTTTAATTTTCATTGTATTTTGAAGTTGAAATATTATTTATATTTTATCTTTATATTACTGTCATAAATTATTAAAGAATATATAAATAAAATATAAATCATATAAATTTCTTATAAAGGATATTTTCATTAGAGAAAATGTAATTAATCAAATTGAATTAATAATTACTTCATAATAATGATAAAACTTTGTATTTTAAATTGAAATATATTATGCAATTTTTATAATATATGCGAATAAATTATATTTTTTTGATTATTTTTGAAAAATAAATTCATTCTCGTAACTTTTTTTCGAATGCTTTTTAATTTGAAAAAAAATGAATAAAATATTGTCACTATATCGTCACATAATATATGCAATCTTAAATAGACACTATTATTTGAATTTAATTAATCTTTATTAGATAATAGTTTTCATTAATTATTTTTATCGTTAGATGGTTGTAGTTTCCAATTCTTCTAATTCTTTTACTATAGTAATGTACAAATTTTATGAATTATTAATTAATAGTTAAATAAATACTCTTTTTATCAAATGAATATTTTTTTAAATGTATTTATTAATGTAATTAAATTTATTTATTAAAACCTTTTTATAATATATAATTTTTTATGAACTATAATAAACATTCAGCTAAATTATTTCTTTTTATTTATATTTTATTTATATTTTATTTTATTATTATTTTTTTATTTATTTTATTATTATTTATTATTTATATTTTATTTTTTTTTATTTATATTAATATATTTTATTTATTTGAAATTTAACTATTTATAAAAAGATATTTACATTGATATCAAAAAATAATAAATGAAATATTTATAATATGATTAATATTTAATGCAAATTGTCAAAAACTTGATAAGATAGATTTCTACAAAAGATAGATAAAAGTTTTTTGTCTGAAATCCGTTTATATCCTTACAATGTAAATATACAATTACTTTATATAATATACTTATAATATATATATTAATATACTTTAATATATATGTATAATATACTTTATATTTTAAATATATTTTAAATGTATAATTTAGATGACTATGGAACATCTGAATTTAATTTTAAAACTATTAATGCAATAAACATATTTTTTCTTACGATAATTAAAAATAAAAAAAATAATTATTATTTAATGCAAACAAGATTTCATAATTTAAAAATTTGAAAAAATTTTGTATGTAATTTAAAATTTATATTATACTTATATTTTATAACTTATTAAATGTTAATTTAAAATTTTATTTAAAAATTAATAACGAAATTAATGTATAGATATTATATATGTTTCGAATATCTTTTTATTTTTTGAATATATTTTAAATTAAAAATATAAATATTTTTAATCTTTATTGTTAAAATTTTATTTAAAGAATTATAAAATAAATTTATTATTTGACTTTTTCAAGAGCTTAATAATTTACATTAAAATAATGTAAATCATGATTTAAATAATAATGATTTAAATTGATTTTTTAAAAAAAACTTTTAACTTTTATATCCAATCTTTATTTGATTTGCAATAATAATTATTCAATAGTGACATCTATGAATTGATTATACAAGTATATCCTATAAATTATCGATAGTCAATAAAGTTGATTATATCATTAAATATATAAAAAAAAATTAAAAAACTTTATATTAGTTTATAATATATCTACAGAAATTTAAATATAAATTTTTAACAAATAAGTTATTTTTTTCACTTAAATTATATAAATATTGTTGATTTTTATCCATAATTTCTTTTTAAAAAGTGAAAACTACTTTATCTTTAAACTTTATTGAAGATAACTGCCATCTACAGTTCTAGCTATATATTTTAATAACTACATTTACAATTTAAAATCATTTTATATATATTATTAATAATTATACTTATTTTGAATTTAAATTTGTAACAATTAGGATGTTTATATTAATTTGCTTGAAATATTATATTAAAATTTAATATGTATTTAATTGTTTTTAAAATATTAAAATATGTCATAATACAATTTATATTTATTTATAAAAAGATAATAAATATTCGAATAAATGATAAAAATAAAAAGATAATAGATATAAGAAATGTATATGAATTATGAAATAAGAATATACTTATGAAATAAGAATATAAAATTATAATAAATAAATACAATAACGTTATCATTGACAACAAAAAAATATATCTAGAGTAATAATTTCAGGTTTTATAATTCGAATAATTATATTTAATAGTCACAAGGTAAAATCGTAAAAAAAAATTATATTATCGATCAATCGGACAATGTGATCAAAAATTATGCAATTAAATTCAATGAATAAGTTTGACTTGAAATATCGAAAATATTGGCATTATAGAAGTCGAACTTTAAAAAAAATTTATTTAAAAAAAAAAAGAAAAGGAAATATTAAGTGTATTTGTTATTACAAAAGCGTCATATGAAAAGAAAATTCATAAAATTTTTTTAAAGATAAATATTTATATTTTAGAAAATGTGAACATAATAAGATTGTTCAATTTCGTGAAAATGTCAATTAAATTATTTGACGAGCTTTTAAGTGTATTGAAATTTATTTTGCATATACAAATGAATATTGAAGAATATTGCTATGATTTACAAAAGAAATTACTTGTTATATGAACAAATTTCATTTATTTCTTCATTCGTATGTCGCTCATGTTTTCAATCGCCGGTAACTCATTAGTTTTTACAAGTATATATGAGTTTTTATATTCTAATAAATCCAGTAATCGATAATAATTGTCCAATAGTGTATTAATAATATTTATGAAACATATTTTAATTAAAAATATTTTTATTTATTAAATATATTATTTAGTGACGATTATCTTATCTATTACATAAAATAAATTTTTATTATTTATATTTTTATAATTTAAATATCTTATAAAAATATATGAAATATATGCTTTAAATATATTCTTTATAAATAATTATCAATTTTATTTTAAATTTTAATTTAAACATGTGACAAATTTTATAAAGATATATTAAGTAGTATCTTAATAATTCAAAATTATTATTATTGTGAAATATAATTAAGATATATAAGATATAGAGATATAAAGATATAGAAAAAAAAAAGATATAGAAAAGAAAGATATAGAAAATAAAAAAATGAATTTTTTATGAATGACTAATATATAATATGAATTTCACTAATAATTTATCATAATAGTAAAAACAATGAATATATACATATTTCATATATATACATATATTTAATAATTTCACTTATTTCTAATCTTTTTTTATTTTTATAATTAAACTCAATGTTTTAATAGACAAAAAACATGAATTCATCGCACTAATAATTTTAAAAATTCTTTTGTATATTTAAAATATTTTATATTATTTGCATATTAATAAATCTATTAATAAATTATTTATATTGACTCTAGTTTCATCGTTAGACAACGATTATAGTCATTGCACACATAATTGCGTCGATAATCGCATACATGCAAATATGCACTGAGATTAAATGTGCAAGCCACGTGGAAGCATCGCAAATGATCCTGATTGGTTGCAGATCCCAGCGATATCTGACGTGGAGGGGAAACATTGTGATGGTCGAAAAAGGTCGAAAGACCAGAAGGGATGGGAAGATTGCTGAAGGACGCTCCTTTCAACAGAGAAACCGAACGAGAGTGGGGAAGTTGTCTACACGTGCGACTTCCTTCCCCTTCTTTCTCTGACCTGATCTATTTGTCTTTTTCCTTATAGTTGCGACACAGTTATCTCTTTCTTACTTCCAAGCCATGGTTCTCTGCACGCACTACCAAATCATTATTGCGACCCCTGTTTCTCACCTTCCTGGAAGACACGGAGAAATGTTTAAACAGTTTTGCAATTAATATGGAATCTGAAGTCATTATATAACCTGGAACTATTTGTCTATTTTAAAATAATTTTTTCAAAATATTCTTAACAAATTGTTAAATATATATATCAATAAATGATATGTATATAAATGATTATTTATCATTAATATTAAAAATATAAAAATTGTGATTATTCAAGAAAACAATATTTATAAATAATATTTAATTTAGAACTTATTATGAAAATATATATAAAATTAATATTTATTTAATGAAATCATATATTTTTATTTCATTTGCTTGCACTGACAATAAATTATTGTATAATTTCAAACGAAAAAAAAAAAAAAATAAAACATTTTTTTTATTAATTATTTATTAAATCTTTTTATACTAACAATGGTGAATATTAAATTTAATTATCAATTTCTGTTTATGATACAAAAATAATTGAGTTAATATAAACATACATTTGTATTTAATTATTTTTTTTCCTTTTTAAAAGCAATAATTTTTTAAGTTTAATTATTTGTATTTTTAATAATATGAAAAGTAATTGCACATACACATTTAAATTACATATATTGTATAAAAATTTATTTGCTTGAATGAGTAGATAAATATAATAAAAAATAAAGCGAGAGTGTAAATTGAAAAAAGGGTTGAACAAGTTAAATGTAGCAAGTAAAAACAATGTAAATGATATATTATAATTAAAAATAAATTGGCTCGACGAAGGGTTTCCGTATCTTTTTTTTCGCCAGACAATGTCATTCGGCCGTTTAAATAACATGTTGAAATTCTTATTGCGTAATGTATCGATGTTTTTATAACATCATCTGTAAAATGGAAGAAAAAGAAGAAAGATAAAAGAGAGAAAGAAATAGAGAAAAGTGTGAAAGAATTGTTATTTTAATTTCTATCATTCTTTTCACATATGAGATCTTTTTCATGAACTATTGGCAGCATCAGTCACGGAAAAATATGCCGTGACGCCGTTTGACTATATTAGACGCGCGCAAATATTTCGAATGAACACGTGTGGTTTTAAATCCAATTGCAAGAATAATAGAGCGTCATAATGCTATTTCTAAAAATATCCAAAATACGAGATCTATCTGATTTAAAAAATAAATTACTTATGATAAAATTGATGATTATAAACATTATAAACATAATAATTTTTTTTAAAATGAATATTCAATAATTTATTTTATGGTGATGAAGAAAAAAAAAAGATTTTAATTTTGGATTTATAACTAAAGAATTAAGATACATCATAAGAAAGTATATTTTTTTCTTAGTAGATAGTTTGTTTTTTTTTTTCGGACAGCTGGTCTACCTGAAACGGTTAGTTGAATATTAATAGTCATCATCTTCGAAATAACCGGAAAACATGCCGACAGCTGATTACTCAATATGGGTCTTGCTATATACGATGCGATATACAATGCCACAAATGGATGCTTTTCATATGTCATCGAAATTACTAAACCCTTTCGATGAGATCGATATGAGATGCGTAACTGAATCGAGACCACGTGTTGTTAGAGAAACTTTAATCCTTCGATTGCTTTGACATAGATTTCGCATTCGATTTGGAAATCTTCTGGTAAGATTTATAACGATATGTGATCAAGAGGAATGATTCATTTAATTGCAACATACTATAATTCTTATCTATCGAAATATTGTATTTATCCATTATTAAGTTGTAAGCATAATATAATTTCTAAAAAGAATATATAAGCATATATTTTATAATATATAAATATCTTTCAATAGGAAATTCATTTCATACTAATTGATTAACTAAAATATTAATTGTTAATCATTAATCGTAAAAATTGTTATGCAGTGAATAGAGATAATTTTATTTTATGAGATAATAAATTAAAATATCTATTGCTGAATTAAGAACTTTTTTAATATTAAAAATTAATATATGTAAAACTATTTTGAAATATTATTAAAATATTTATAAAAAGTTTTTAAGAAATATGTGATCACTTATAAAACTGATGCGACATTAAAATAGAATATTAATCTTATATTCTGAGATGTTAATGAGTTTATGAATTTCGAAGCATTTTTTGTTTTAATAATAAATTTTAAAGTATAAAAGAGATAACAAAATTTATAATTTGTAATAAAGGTATATCTTTTTTAAAAATGTTTTTAATATTAAACTTATTTTTTAATATCAAAATAAATTTCAACTGATTATTTAATTATAATGTCTTTTGCGATAAAAATAATATTAAAATATATTAAAATTAAAATTATTTATTTTTGTTTGTTAATATATTTGTAGAATAGTTTGAAGAGTAGATTTTAAAGGCCAAAACAAATAATTGGTATATAAAAATCTTAGTTGAAATTTTTTATTAAGTTCTAAGTTTGTATGATGAAGCGAGGCGGGAACAATGGACAATTTCATTCTATTTTTATTTTACTTCATTTAACGCAAAATTCAATTATAATTTAATAAATAAGGTTCAATCAATATTTCTGTATCAATTTTTACGTTTATTTTGTCTTTTAGAATCGAGAAAATTTAGATTGTTTAAAGATATTCTACAAAAATATTAATATTTTGTACATGTATATATGTTTTATTTAATTTCATATAACATATATTAAAACATATTAATATACAATAAAATGATTTAAATATTAATATATGACATCGTTTGTTATGTGAAATTATAATAAAACAAAATATTTATTTTAATGAAAAAATATATAAAAATATATAAGTATATAAAAGACATATCAAATATTAATCATATAATAAAATATCTTCATTATGTCTAAATATAATATCATTTTACAAAAAAATAATTTTTAACCTTATAAATAATTTATAAAACATTTATTTTAAAATAAGTTTTTATTTTATATAGAATGTTTAATTAGAAGAATGTCTAAACACTTTCTTTATTTAGAACTTCAGGCTTTTTTCGGAAGCATTCGAAAACCACTTTGAAGCTGAGACTCGTGTTTTGACACCTTTAAGACGCGTGAAACGACGAAATTCTATGAAACACGCGCGTCCTGCTTTGCTTTCCCGCGGAACCTTTTGGAAGATCCCATTCGAAGTGGGGATGCACGTGCCGCGGCTTTTGTTATCGAGATTGTTGTAATGTCGAAGCTTTAGGCGCGTGCATGAGAATCGTGCATCTGCGCACGCGTGACCGTGTTGCTCGCAACCACGAGGGGGGATAACATGGCGGTACTCGATCGCCGTTAGTCGATGTACAGACACCGGTAGATTTGGATCATTCTTCTGAATCAAATAGAATGAATAGTGATTATGATTGAAAATTCACATTCTATATTGTCATTATTTGTATAAATTATGACATGATTAATATTCATTGTTTTATCTGAACAATTCGCGAGTGTCGATTGTAAGGACTCACTGCACGCGTTAAGTGACATTTATAAGAGTTTACTCTGACATCATTCGAAAACGCGATTTAAGACTCTGTTGCCAAGTAAGTTCAATCACTACATTGCGAAAGTGATTTTGTAATCGGTTGCCGTTTGAACTGTTTCAATTTTAAAGTGATTGACAACAAAAACGAAGAAGGCGGTGAATCTTGTCAACCATTTGAATCTGTTTTGAAACTCTTGGGACTGCATCATAAAGATATTCTGTAAATAGGTACATTGCCATATAATATATAATATTAATACTTATTTTATATTTATTATCTATAATAACTATATCGTTCTATATCGATACAATTTTTTGATTACTAGTTTGCAATTACATTTTTATCAGTATGCAAAATCAAATAATTTTGATGCAAGATTTTTTTATATGATCTTTTTGAGTTTTAGTACAACAGGTAATGTACAATAATTATGTTAATTTGTCAATATAATTATCATTTGTATAATTATATCAACAAATGTGTACTATTTTTTTCTATTATATTTTATCATAATTATATATCTTTAGTAGAAAATATAAATAATTCTGTGTTAATTTATAGTTTCAAAGAAATAATATAACCAAAAATGTACTCTTAATATGTACTCTTAAATTTATAACTCTAGGGAATTTGATAATTTATTATCGACATACATTTGCATTTATATAGTATTGAATTGAATTCATTTTTCAAGTTATTGCGTTCATTACATCGTTCATATTATATAATATTTAATTATATTATTAAAATATTTATTAATAAATAAACATAGATGATATCGTTACATACAGTCTTCTTAAATCAGTTTTCTATTGTGAATAATAATTTTTGGCACAACAATCATTTATCAATATATTTGAGAGTATTAAGCAATAACTTCTTGCAGTGCATATGTGCAATTCTTGATTCTTAATTTATTTAATAAATAATGAATTTCAAATATTTAGTTGATTCATAATTATATATATTAATAATTATTCATAATTCATAAAAAAATACAAATTCATAATTATTATCGATAAATTATATATTTATTTTGAAATTTTTAATAATTAAAGCAAATATAAAAAAAAACTTCATATTTTCTTTTAATTATGTATAAATTATCTTTCAATAATGTTCATAAATTTTAATTAAAGTTTAAAATATATTATTTAAAACTTTTATAAATTATTTTTATAGATTTAGCGTATTATGCTATCAAATTATAAACGATAATTTATGAATAATGAAAATTACAAATGGAAATAGAAAAAATATTATCTATTAATATCATTAATATTACTAATATTACTATTATATATTATTATTTAAAAAAAGAAATTTATTAAATTATTATTATAATATGTACATTATTATATATATTAAATATTTGTAAAATAGAAATTATAATTTTACAAGATATTACAATTTATATTTTATAATCATGTTATAAAATTATGTTTTTATTTTTAATATTGGTATGTATAATTGATGCATAAATGTATGCATATATAAATATTTATTATAATTTTATAAATCAAAATTTATATATATTGTTATTTGAAAATTTAAAATTTATTTAAAATTTTTTAATATAATATTTTTTATAAAACAGATTCCTCTAAAATATAAAAATATTTATATTTAATTTATAATTTATTTAATTTTTTGTATTACAAAAAAATTTGATACATTGTGTTTAGTAAAATGAGAATAAATAATAATGCATTGATAAATCAATCATATAATACTCAAAATTAAATACTTTTAGATGATGTTTCTTTTTCTTTTTTAATTGTATAATTTTATTTATAATATTCAAATTTAATTTAAATAATAATAAGCACTAATTCATATAAAAACATTTTATATAATAGATATTAATAAAAAAATTTAATTTTAATTTAATTTAATAATAGTATTTAATTTTAATATTAGAATTAATTTTTTTTAATTTTATTTTTACTTTAACTAAAAAAAGAATATAAATTTTAATAATGCAAATAAATATTATTGATTATCATAAAATTTACAAATCCATTTGAAACTTTAAATCTTGATTTTTAATATAATTTCGTTTAATATAATTATTCATTTGGCATGTATCGATAATATATATATACATATATTATTTGTAAAATATATAATAATTTTAATCTTTCTTCATTGAGATTTTTTACAATTATTCACAGATTTCGTCTCCCGATTTCTAGACGAATCATTGAAAACTATTTATTATTATTTGAAAAATTCTAGTTAATTCAGAAAATTTCGAAGAAAATTTCAGAAATGGATAAGCTTATCGAATAATCGTACGTTTCTATCGGGCCAACCACTTCGTTTAATTGCGCAATCGATCAGCAAAGCACACGATTCTGCTCTAAACTTAAACGCGCGTCGCCTCGATCTCTCACGGTAGGCCCCAGTATCCTGAAAAACGGACGTTTGATTTCATTTAAGTAAGTACTTATTTTAGACCAAACTGTAAAACGTGCGCTGATATGTGCGATCGCACGTGGACGACATTTACACGTGGAGTACAACGAGGCTTGGAATGGATACTTACGAGAAGGTCAACGAGAATTTCAATCCATGCTCTATCAATTCTCTTTCTTTTTTGCGTTTACTTTCTTTTTTAACGTTAGTGACGTCGCGTCGGGTCAAATCGTGTATGATACAATATTTACTATAATTTTCAGCACATGCAACTTTCGTATGTAAATCATGTTTTAACGAGTTTCTAAGTTTTAATATCAAAGACGTCTGACAGATTTTATTGTTTTTGACAAATTTATCAAGTTATTAATGTTAAATATTATTTTGAATATTTTCAGATTTCTATTTTTGTAATTATTAAAATGCAAGTGCTTTTGGCAAAAATTAAGATTTATATATTTATATATATATATATATATGTTTGATTCATTGTCATATGGATCTCTTTATTTTCATTTATAAATAATGAATTGCATTATAGATAATTATGTAGATTATTTTTACAAAAATTAATATGGCTAATTTATATTTTTATAATTATTAAAAATTTGTGAATAATATTAACAATTAACAAAACCATAAATTGATAAATATAATATTAAAATTGAGCTTAGTTAAAAATTAAATTTCATACAATTTTGATATTTAAATCGCAAAATTTAACATATTTAAATATAGTTAAATTAAACATAAATTTTGTTTTTTTCTATTATTTGAAGCATTGAAATCTTTACATGAAATAATTATTCTTAAATTATTTTTGCAAAACGTAGAATTATTTTTATTTTTTTTTTTTTTATTAAACTTATTATTTTATTGTTAAAGGATTTTTAAATCTATAACTATATAATTATAATAAAATTTAAAAATATGTTAATTTTTCAAATTATATTTTATTTTTAGATACTAATAATTCACTTAATCAAAATTAAATTACTTCAGTAATAATTTTAATAATTCATATCTTTACATATTTGTTTAATTTTTAACATTTAAATTAACCATTACAATTTAAAATTTAAAAATACTATATTTAATTAATAATTTCTTATTTTATTAAATTATTACATATTAATCAATAACAATTAAAAGAAATTTCGTAAATTATTTCTATTACTAACTATCACAATCGTTATATCGCGTATTTGAAATACATGGTCACAGTATATCGTAATTAAAAACTTTACACGTGCAATCAGACTAGTGATGTTTTTAATCAACAAAAGAATGCATCGAAACGGGTTTCTTGCGCCAGGACACGTGTAATCCATATGATGATTGGTTAAAGCTTGCAGATTTTGTGTCACGTCGTTGATCGTGTTACGAGGTGTTTCGTCACAGGCCAATTTATCGATTCAGAGCGGGAAAATATTATACGGGCGTACAATGTAAGGACGTACACGTGTGTCTCGTTTATAGTAAATATCCCTTCCATACTTTGAAGGATTTCATTTTACACAATATTTGCCAATTAATAATATCAATAAATTGATAAGTGACACAAGATAGATTATAGACTTCTATTGCACAAATAGGAGGTTTTTTAACTTTATATAGAACAATCAATTTTTTTTATAATTTATAAAATTCTGGAAATGAATTTCATTTGTTTTATTATCAAATTGTTAATCACATATTATACAAAAAAATTAATAATTTTATCAATAATTTATTGATAATTTATATTTGAAATTTTATTAATTTTGTTAATAATATTATTTTATACAAGATAATTGTACAAAACATAAAAATATATGTTTTGAATTAGTTGAATGATTGATTGTTAAAACAGAATTTGAAGAAAAGAAAGAATTTTGCATGTACAATTATGTGTTATTAAATCAGTGTTTTGTAATAGAGATAGAGTTATTTTATAATCCTTACGTAAGACTAAGAGATTTATATTTTTTTTGCAATAGTTTTCCAATAATGATAATTGAAATCATTTTTCTATTTGCTTATTTATTTTTTTCTTTTTTCTTTTCTTTTTTTTTTTTTTTTTTATTATAATGTTAAACTCATAACTATCAAACATTGATATTAATATCTATTATCACTGTATTAAATCATTGGCTGGTGTTGAGTCACTTGCTTTGGAGACACGTGTACATTATACTGTTAATTTCTTAGTACGATATCATGAGGTAAATCGTTCGCGTCAGAGTTAGTTCAAACAAGACAATTGTAATTGAACCTTATTCTTGGTATTATTATTAGATTGATGCATACGAAATGACATTTTCTATTTCTAAATTTTAATCACAAATAATTTATTTAAATCTATATTATTTTTATCTATTATAATTTTTAAATATATATTTATAAATTTAAATTAAAAATCTTAAACATTTTAAAAAAAATTTTAATGTAACATAAAAATCATACATATTAATTATAAATTTTTTCCTAGTTTAATTTTAAAAAATTTTTTCACAGCTTCTGTGAAAGTGTTTCTAATTAAAAAAAACAGTTAATACGTTAAAATAATCCGAGATTTAATCACAATAATAAATTAATTTCATTATTCCAAATTTATGAGAATTATTAATTCTAGAATACAAAAATTATTCAAATTTCTTATAATTTTTTTTTAAGCAATTTTTACATTCATTATCTAGATGAAATATAGAATATTTCTCTTTTCAAGCGATGAATTTATGTTTCTATGTTGTACTTCTTCTGTTTAAACTCATTTAAAAAATTACATGAATATTCTGATTATTCATAAATAATAATTTTTCTAATAAAT